CTCAAGCCATTCGCCGCTTATATACTGATTTCGATACAGGAGTTGGAGTTAATGTTGTTTAGCACTAATGTGTCCGATAGTTATGGCGCCGATTACGACGGACCCGATTATTATGGAGCCCCCGGTGTCGATGATTACCCCGATGTGGGTCATAATGTTGCTGTGGGACCCGCCCATCGCGAGCTTGATACAGGGTATGTGTTTTATTTAATAATTAAGTTTAAATTTTTTAGTCTTAATGAATAGATTTACAAAATTTGTTTGACATGCTGTAATTAAAAGCATACTGTAGTTTGTAATATAAAAAACAATGTGATATTAAATAAATGGTTAATTAGCAGTGAAACAGTATACTTTCTTACTAAAAACTGTAATGTTACAAATTATACAAATTTTTGCTAAATATAAACTAAATAAAAATTCAATGGAACGATTGGAAAAAACCAAAATAATAATTTTATTAATTAATTAAATATAATCGTTTTTTACATTTTATGCGACAGACCGTCGATCGCAATAATTCGTAACGACTTGAACGACACTCAACGGGAATTCACGGTACGGACCATAGACTTTGCGTTCAACGTGTGCGCCAACAGCTATACATGCGTTACGTACAAAACAGTCGGTGCACTCAATCAGCAATACGTGGCCCACAATCGGGCGGACAGTATGCCGGGCACCGACGACGGGCCTGACAGTCAGTGGCAGTGCATTGTCACCAGTAATACGGCTACCGATCAACTGGTGGTAGGCGTCGACTATATGTCCGGTTCATTACTGGATGTTATTTACGGCAATAGACATCGTGTGGTTGTATTCAAAGTTGAACATGTTCACCGAGTACAGGTAAACAAGGTTTATGTAACTATTTTTATTAATAACTAATGCAAATGAATAGAAATCAGAATTGACTGAATGGGATGTAATAAAAAGTGCCCGTAAGAGTATCCAGCTGAATAAAACAATAATTATGGACCAAAACCTCATAGCACCCGCAAGTCACGGGCGGCTAAACAGTCGGTCCCTACCCTTCCCGGCTTTTAAACAGCCACAAAGCCTAACAGCTATGGCTATGAAAGATATACGTCGGGCTGTTATGACCCAAACAAAGTATTGGTCTATTTGTCAGCGGTTGACACACGGGGGCGATATTCCGGGCCAGTTATGGTGGGCCGAGTGTGTGGCCGGCGCTCAGCACACGTTCTCCAGGGCTGTCGCCGACAATCGTTACGATAAACACTATTTGATTGTCAAAATGGATGGACTGGTCATCATATTGTTTCAGAAGTTGCCCGATGTTATTGTTGATACAAAACATATTCGTGCTGGCTAATCTTTCATGACTTTATAAAAAACATTTTACAATTTCTTCATTATCAATATTTTATATGTTTTATTTTTTGCAATATAAGAAACTTTTAGTTTTTTTAACAAGATAAATTTAATTATTTTGAAACGCAATATTGCGATTTTATTTAATTTTAAAATACAGTAAATTGAAATAGTTTACATTCTAATTGTTAATGTAGTTGCTGGGGATGATTAATTAAATATTTCTAAAATGTAGACATGGAATTTATATATAATTAATATTTGTTTTATTTCCATTAGGCTGTTTTCTTTTGCAAAATTAACTATACTCTATGGGAATAATATTTATCTAATAATTAATTATGAATGTAACCAATTATTTTTTAAATAATATTTAAATAAATGTTAATAAATAACATATAATAACGTAATTATTATTGTTATTTTTAATTATCTATTATCAAAACAAACAGTACAATACTTATGCTGTGCATGGAATGTAAAATAGTCAGTAAAATAAATTTTACATAAAATAATTTGCAACTTATTTAGAGTTTATTCTAATTTATTGATTATTGATTTATAAATTAAACTTTAATTGTTATTAACAAATAGTATTATAAAATAATGTTTAAATATGCAACCATCATATTATTCATACTAGTGATTGATATATTATTTTGTCTGAATAATAAGTGCCCGGATCAAGAGATAATGAAACCGTGTTTGTGTAGAGAAGGCGATCATGATTCTATTTGGTATTGTCAAGGCATATTGTCTTGTCCACGGTCAATTCAACGGCCCATGTCAAGTACCCTAATGCTGCCAATGGAAAAAACACAAAAATTGCCCATGGACCAAAGGACACCGGATAAACTCGAAATATCATGTTTTCATAATATAACTGAAATAACCAGGGACACTTTTACTGGTATAAGTTTCAAAACATTTTCCCTCCGCTCGGTCCCAATGTTAACCTACATCGATAGGCATGCGTTCGCTGGTATGAATATAACAAGCTTTTTTATAAATAGTGCACCTAAATTGGACCATGCTCAAGATGGGAGATTGATATTTGACATAATTGCCAACTTCCTATCTATCGGATATGTAAGGCTGAAAATTGCAATATACGCGATACCATCAAATGCGTTTTCTGAATTAAACAACCTAAGGTACATTAGAATAGTTGACAATTCAATAGAAACAATTGGTGGTAGGGCATTTTATTCGCTGCCAAAACTCTACGCGCTAGAAATCCTAGACACGCGCATCGCTATCGTACCGGCCGAGACCATCATGTTATTTGGGACAGCGATCAACAAGTTAACTATTAATTTTATGGGAAACATGCTACTTCGTCCGGATAGTTTCCAGGCCAATTCGTTGATTACAAGTAATTATAGCGTAACGATCCACGTATTTTGTGACAACTGTATTAGCTGGACATATTTGACATATAATGGTCTTGGTCAGTTTCTCCAACAGAATCATAATAATAGGTTATTTATATATGGTGGTACAGTTACGTGCGATAATGATTGGATTCTAGATTATCCACGTATACAAAAGCAATTATATTTTGAATGTGGTTATTTACGCAGGACCACTGGTTGTCGGCAATTTAAGTGCCGTTATGGCATATTTCACAACCTATTTAACCATCCAAAAACAACGTGTCAGCACTTAAGCGCATAACAACGCGGCCTCCCGAGGGACAGGTTTTGCTGAGAAGTTAATTTATAGGAGGGCATAGGTGCCACCACTAGTAGGTGGTTCAAAGTCTCGAGTATTGGCAGTTGCGTACAACTCGCCCCTCACATGGATAGCATCGTTGCCTCCGTCGGGGCCAATGCTTATAACATTATATGCTTGGGTTGTGTTGTGTGGAGTGTAAGTGTTGCTAGAGTTTGCGTACAACTCGCCCCTCACATGGATAGCATCGTTGCCTCCGTCGGGGCCAATGCTTATAACATTATATGCTTGGGTTGTGTTGTGTGGAGTGTAAGCAATAATTCTATGAATTGTAATGAGTTTATTGAACTGTAATACAGGCACTAAATTAGTTGCAATTAACACATGAATTTTCAATTTATAAATAACCTTTTAAAAACAATTTAAATAAGAATGTGAGGCCGTTTTATTATGTAATATGTAAATAAAAAATTAATGAGCATAAATGTAATTGAATTTTATTTTATTCCTTTTCAACATAATCATCAGTTTTACAATTAGTGCAATAGTAAACAATGTGTTGTATTTTACACACAAGTTTATCGCACCCTTCACATCGGATCGAAGCCTTATATATGCTTGGGTTGTGTTGTGTGGAGTGTAAGTGTTGCTAGAGTTTGCGTACAACTCGCCCCTCACATGGATAGCATCGGTGCCTCCGTCAGGGCCAATGCTTATAACATTATATGCTTGGGTTGTATTGTGTGGAGTGTAAGCAATAATTCTATTAATTGTAATGAGTTTATTGAACTGTAATACAGGCACTAAATTAGTGTTTTTGCAATGCATCAATAATTGTTAATAATCTTGGCCCTACATTCCTATTTAAATAGGAATGTGGGGCTATGTTTGAGCATAATTTATATGCAATTAACACATGAATTCTCAGTTTATAAATAACCTTTTAAAAACAATTTAAATAAAAATGTGAGGCCGTTTTATTATGTAATATGTAAATAAAAAATTAATGAGCATT